TCAATCAACAAGATGCCCACACAATTAGAGTTGTTACTCAGTATCTAACCTTTTGATAGAAGTTGCTACCCAGGACAGCTTTCGGCCCATCTGTGGTTCTCCATGGCTGATAGCCTCCTTCCTTTCTTCCCCTACCTCTCTTTCTCCCCTCCCCTTCCTCTATTTCTCCCAGCTCCACCTCCTCTTCTACTGCCTAATCACCCAGCTCCACTGTGAATACAATGTAGCAGAATAAGTATCCTGCTATAATCAGGCTTTTTTTTAAGCTAATAATTTATCAAGCAGATATCTATATATAGGCAAACACTACTTTGGAAACTAAAACATCAGGGATACTGTTTACTCCTGGGCCCTTGGGTGAGAAGAAAGAGAGGAAGCCTTGGAAAAACAGGCCAGGAACAGAATACAGCTAGTAAAGGAACAGATTGGATAGTACAAACTTAGACAGACAGATAGATAGAATTACTTTTTATTTACATTGGTGTTCTGCTTACATGTATGTCTGTGAAGGTGCCAAATCCCCTGGGATTGGAATTACAAAAGTTGTGAGCTGTCATGTGGGTGCTAGAAACTAAACCTAGGTCCTTTGGAAGAGTTTTCTTTATATTTTCTTAAAAGATAAAAGAAATCTATTTACAAGGGCTTTAGGGCAGCTGGAGGAGATGAAGGCCTTGGGAGAAAGGGAGGAGCCGAGTAGGTAGAAGGTCCTTGTACCTCTTTACCCCGTCCTCCTTTCTCTTCCCTCCACATCTAGTTAGTCTCTTTAAAAATCCACTATAGCATTGAGACTGGTAAGGGAGGGCCTAGAGCTTGGAGGTAAGGATTCATTTATCTCTGCCCTTGGTTCTTGGGGTCTACCTGGGGCAGAAGCCCCATTTCCACTCCACTTGGGACTCCTGGATGCATGTGGAGGCTGGTTGGGGCCCTCAGAAAAAGTGTGGGTAGGTCTGATATCAGGCCCCTGTCAATGGAGATAACGAGGCCCACAGTCCTGTTGCGTGTCATCTCGTCCAAATCCCCCAGCACCTCAAGTGAGGAAGGGTAAGAGTTGCTTTGCTGGAGTGTTGGATGATAAGGTCACCAGGATTGAAATTGAAGAGGGGTCAGAGAAGTGAGTGAGCATTTGCTGAGGAGCTGAGACACTACAGTTCATCAAAGAAGCTGTGGACCTAAGCTTCTAGTAAGGAGAGCCTTGAGTCAGGTGTGGGCTCCAGAAGAGCCAGATAGCTTTGGGTATCATCTGAGATTTAGATACCTTTGTGCAGGCATGAGCTTTTATGTTGGAGAACTCGATCTCTGTATAGTTGGGGTTTATCTTCCAGATTTATTCTTCAGTTGGTGTTCCTAGTACCATCATCTCTATGAGGTAGTTTATGTACTGTCCCCAGGGAACATGAGCTGTCCAAGTAGAGGGCAGCCTCTGACCACATAATTATAGACAAGACTTAATCATTGACCCTAAAGATGAGCTCTGGAAAGCAGGAGTACCAAAAACAAATGCAGGAAACCCTGGACTTCCCAGGGAAATAGTAGTGTTGAGATCCATCCACCTGTAGGTTCTGGGCTGATAGGTGACATGTACTGTGTGAATTGATGTAGCTAAGTTCTAGAACTGGTATATGTGCCTTAACCTAGATACAAAGATGATCAGTTCAGCTTTTGGGCCACTAGGAACACTGTGCCAGCCATGTGTCCCAGCACCAGATTTAATACAGCTCATCTTTTTGGAGAGCAAAGGTAATCTTGATTAGGGTTTTATTGTTGTGAAGAGATACCATAACCAAGGCATCTCTTTGGTTTTGTTTGTTTGGTTGGTTGGTTTTTTTTTTTTTTTTTCAAGATAGGGTTTCTCTGTGTAGCCCTGGCTGTCCTGGAATTCACTCTGTAGACCAGGCTGGTCTCGAACTCAGAGATCCGCCTGCCTCTGCCTCCCAAGAGCTGGGATTAAAGGTGTGAGCCACCACTTCCCAACGACCAAGGCATCTCTTATAAAGGACAACGTTTAATTGGTGCTGGTGTACAGTTTCAGAGGTTCATTATCACTCTGGTGAGAAGCATGGCAGCAGCTAGGCAGACATGATGCTGGAAGAGCTGAGAGTTCTACATCTTTATCCAAAGGCAGCCAGGAGAAGGGCTGGCCTCTGCACTGGGCAGAGCCTGAGCATAGGACCTCAAAGCCTACCCCCACAGTGATGAACTTTGTCCAACAAGGCCACACCTTCTAATGATGCCATTTCCTATGGGCCAAGCATATTCAAACCACAAAAAGAGATGTGAGAAAAAAGGGAGGCAGAGTCTGGGAAGGTGTGTAGAGAATAGGAGAGAGGAACTGGACCTCATTGGAAAAGCAGATAAGAAAACATGGAATTAGAGTGGAGCAGAGCCGGGCGGTGGTGGCGCACGCCTTTAATCCCAGCACTTGGGAGGCAGAGGCAGGCGGATTTCTGAGTTCGAGGCCAGCCTGGTCTACAGAGTGAGTTCTAGGACAGCCAGGACTACACAGAGAAACCCTGTCTCGAAGGAAAAAAAAAAATGGAGTTGTTGAGTTAGCTCAGTGGGAAAAAGCCTTCTGTGCAAGTTCAGCGATGTCTCCAGAACCTTGTAGTTGAAGTGGTTCCAGAAGATGTGCTTGCAAGTCACGCACAATAATTATGAATAAAATTTAAAAATAAGAGTTTTAGGGATTAGATAATATTTTTATCAAAAGTTGCTATCTCCAACAATCTTTTGGTCTGCCAATTGTATTAATTTTTACTTTGGGATAAAATAAGGGTGAAACAAACTTAAAGCAACTGTTAAGTCATTACCCCGTCTGGTAATTTAAACAGAAGTCCATTTTATCTAGAAAAGTGAAATGTCTCAGTGTAGAAAACCGTCATCCTTTGTTACAGGTCAGGTTTCCAAACTCACAGAAGGAGTTCCCTAAATGCATTCAGATCCTAGTTAGCAGGACAGCAATTTTCAGTTAAAGGCTATTGTGAACTGCAATTCACAGTAATGATGCACAGTTGAGTTTGTTTTTATTTAACTGCCAAGTACAGGCAAAATGCCTATATAATTAGTTTTCATTTTTTCTATTTTATAAAGGAAAGTCTAAGGTTGATAACGATGAGCCAGTTGTTTTGGCAAGGATTTTAGAGGGATCATGTTTATGTATGACATGCGTGCATGAATGCTCATTTGTGTGTGAATGTGTGTGCATGTGTGTTGCTGGGTGTGTATGGAAGTCTGAGGATTACTTTGGGTGTCAGTCCTCACTGTTCTTGTTTTTCTGCTGGGTGCTAGTCTCCTGTCTCTACCTCCTATCATCAGCATAGGGTTGTTGTGATTACAGCCTCATGCCTGTGTGGCAAATGCTTTAGCCACTGAGCCATTGGAAGCTAAGAGTTTGTCTTAGTGGGGGGGGGGTTGTTTTTTTTTTTTTGTTGTTGTTGTTGTTGTTTGGTGGGGGAATGTCCAAGTGTGTTGGTTACTACATTTTTGGTTCTGCTTTACATTATTTTGCCCATAAAACTGGAATCTGGTTATAAAGTCTCAGCTTTATTTTTAATATTCTGTAATGCCTAATTGTTAAGTAAGTGTGACCGACTATTGGTACCAGCTCTTATTTTTCTGATACAAAAGTCATTTCCAAGATTAGCAGTTTTCTACTTGTGAACCAGGTTTAAGCGGTAATTTTATAAACGTCATCATTCCATGAGCATCACAGTTGTGCTCTCTTTCCTGGGCACGTGGTCCCTCTCCTCATCAGCACCTGTTGGGTCTGTAGAAATGTGTGCTCCTGTGTTCACTGTCCTCTTTCATGTTGGAGATGGAACCTAGGGCTTAACCTGGCCTTCCTGTGTGACTGATGATCTTCTGCCCGAGTATGCTTAATTTGTAGTTTGCTTTTCCTGCACAGAGTAAACTGTCTGCCTCTTTTTTTTTTTTTTTTTTTTTTTTTTTTTTTTCAACTAATGTTCTCATCAGTTAAGTTAAATATTAAGGAGCTATATGCAAAGTGAATTAAGATGACAAAATTTTGTTTTTGTACAAGTGTTTTGACTGTTTATATATCTGTGTACCATGTGTTTGCCTGGTGCCGAGGAAGCCAGAAGAATGTGTTATATATCCTGTGCCATTGGACTTACAGACAGTTGAGAGCCACCATGTGGGTGCTAGGAATCAAACCTGGGTCCCCTGAAGAGCAGCCAGTCTTTTAACTGAGGAGCCACCGCTCCAGCCCTTTTTCCTATTTGTTTCTCTTTAAAGATGTTTTTACTGTTTGTGCGCATATGTGGAACTCAGAAGACAGTTGAAGGAGTCAGTTCTCTTCCTCCACCTTGTGACTGAGCGTCCGTTTTCAGGCTTAGTTACGAAGCTCCTTTCTCACTAGGCCACCTTGGCAGTCCCTAAATTGTTCTTTTAAAACAAAACAAACACCAACAACAAAAAACAGTTCTAACAGGTCAGACTGTATGAGCCCTGTCATCCTGGGATCTTTAGAATACATGTACTGTATAAAGTTAGTGCTTGTGAAATTTATGCGGAACTAAAACTGAGGATTTGAAATGGGCTGAAGGGCTCAATGTAGCATCTTGACAGGCTTTGCTTTCTAGATACTGTCCTTGCTGTTAGTGACTTAAAATTATCTGATTTTGTATAAAGGAAAAAAGAGGCAGATTTAAGTTTCTCAAATAATAGGCTTACATATACACCACTTCCTGGTATTTTACCATGTTCCAGATGCTTCTGTTTCACAGTAGTAATCCTGAAAAACTTTGTACAATTGTTAAATTTTTCTTTCTGGAGCTGGGTAGTAGTTAATGTCTTCAATCCTGGCCTAGGCAGGTGGATCTCTGATTTCAGGACTCACTTGGTCTAGACTTGAGTTCCAGGACTACACACAGAAACCCTGTCTAAAAAATAAAAATGCCTTTAGTACAGTCCATTGTTTTTCTATCACAAAGTTTAAAGTTAAAAAGTTGGAAATAATTATTTTTGTGTTTTTATTACTACAGCTTTACCAACAGGGACGCTTATGTCAGCTGGGCAGCGAATTCTGTGAATTGGAAGTTTTTGCTAAAGTTTTGAGAGCTTTGGATAAAAGGTAAACGTGTGTGTATGTGTATAAGCTTGCTTCCTTCCTTCCTTGTCTCATGTGGGTCAAAAGGGCCTTGAACTTGCTGAACTTCTGATCCTCCTGTCTATTTGAGTGCTTGGATTACAGATAAGAGACAGGGGAGCAAAACAAAACAAAACAAAACAAAACAACCCACCACCACCACAACAATAAAACCCAAAAACCCACTAAAATGTATATACCACAAAATTTGCCGCTTAAAATAATTTTAAAATGTATAATTCAAGGACTAGAGAGATGTCTCAGTGGTTAAGAGCACTGGCTGCTCTTCCTGAGGACCTGGGTTCAGTTCCCAGCAACCACATGGCAGCTCACACCTGTCTGTAGCTCCAGTTTCAGGGCTTCTGACTCCCTTATGCAGACATACATGCAGGCAAAACACTAATGAACATAAAAGTAAGTGATTAAAAAATGTATATAATTCAATAATATTAAGTACACTTACCTTGTTTAACTATTAGTAATAGACATTTCCAGAATGTTTTCACTATCAAAACAAAAGTTATGAGTAGACAAAAACTCACCACTGAGTGCTATGATAGCAAATTCCATGGTGTGGAAAGTATAGCTCAATGAAAATTCTTGAAGAACAAAATGATAACGATAGCCACACTTTCTGTATAGTGAGAGTAGGTCAGAGAACATGCTTTTACTTTATAAATACACAGAACACTTACTGAGGGCGGTTTGGTTTTGTTTGGAGGCAGGGGCTCATGTTTAGGTGTTGGTCCTCACCTTACACCTTACTTGAGCCAGTATCTCTCTTAGTGTTCTCTGCTAACATTTGCCAGGCTAGCTGACCTGTGAGCCTCTAGCAAGTCTGTTGTTCATGCCTCCCATGTCCCTCTAGGGTACGCTGGGATTACTGGCGTTTGTGCTACTCTGTTCAGCTTTATGTGGGCTCTGCAGTCCAGACACAGGTTGTCAGGCTTGTGAGGCAAGTGATGAGCCATCTCCCTAGCCCATTGTTTTTTCATTTTGGAATGTATGTGATTTGTTTTTTACAGACTTAGTCTCACTCACCTTATTCATATATATATATATATATATATATATATATATACATATGTTTAATGGAGGAGTAGCTAGCTCTAAAGGGATATGATCAGTGACCTCTCAAAGAACCATTTTTCTCTTTTCTGCAGGCATTTGCTCCACCACTGTTTTCAGGCTCTGATGGACCATGGTGTTAAGGTTGCTTCCGTCCTGGCCTACTCCTTCAGTAGACGGTGCTCTTACATAGCAGAGTCTGATGCTGCAGTAAAGGAGAAGGCCATCCAGGTTGGCTTTGTCTTAGGTGAGTAATAGCAAAGGAGAGGGCATTTTATTCTGCAGTGGTCTTGTAGTTAAATCTAACTAGAAGGTTTCTTCAAGAGTTCCCAATCTGTACAGGCAGGTTGTAAGCAGCCGTCATACCTACCTAAGTGTGGCCTACTCAAGTTCAGTCTGTATGTCCTAAACCTTTGTGGCGTTCTAGCCCAGGCACAGTAATGACAGCATTTACCTAGGAGGAAGTAGACTTAGAGAAGTTGAGTAAGTGGACCATCCCATAGTTCTGAATGAGCTATATTTAGCATGAGTTATATCTGTGATCCCAAGCATGTCTTTCTACAGTATCAGGCCATCACCAAATTCTTTAGCTACTTACTATTTACTGTATGCTTTGGCATGGGACATAAATCTTTTCAGGGCTCTGTTTTGGTTTTCAATTCCAAAAGTAGTTATTTTTAATTTTGGGCAAGCTACTGTAAGGATAACAGAAAGATCACTTTATAATTTCCTGGAAAGATTGCCGGGCGGTGGTGGCGCACACCTTTAATCCCAGCACTTGGGAGGCAGAGGCAGGCGGATTTCTGAGTTCGAGGCCAGCCTGGTCTACAGAGTGAGTTCCAGGACAGCCAGGGCTACACAGAGAAACCCTGTCTCAAAAAAAAAAGAAAAGAAAAGAAAAGAAAAGAAAAGAAAAAGAAAGAAAGAAAGAAAGAAAGAAAGAAAGAAAGAAAGAAAGAAAGAAAAATTGTATGATAATTTTGTAACCTGAGTAATTTCACAACTGTACAGAGTTAAAAGTATGTTTTAGGCAATTATTTATTCAGATTACTATTTCATCCTCATGTCCCAGAGATCAAACTTTTTAAAAGTTAAATATATACGATGTTAGTATTTTGGAGTTTTTCGTTCAGGTGTTTACTGTAAGCATGTCTCTGGCGTGTCTCAGGCAGTTTACTGAGTCATTTAATGTTGCTGCATTTGTTCTTCAGGCGGCTTTCTTTCCGATGCAGGCTGGTACAGTGATGCTGAAAAGGTTTTTTTGTCCTGCCTTCAGTTGTGTACGCTACATGATGAGATGCTCCACTGGTTTCGAGCAGTGGAGTGTTGTGTGAGGTAAGCTGAGCAGATCTGTGATTAAGTGCTACTTAGTTACAGTGCTACTTAGTTCTAGTGGTACTTAGTTACAGTGCTACTTAGTTCTAGTGGTGCTTAGTTACAGTGGTACTTAGTGCTAGTGCTTTGGTCTCAGATTCTGCCCTTGACAACTAATAGTTGAAGTTGATTAAATCTTTAAATCTTTACATCATGATTTCATTAGTCCCATCTCCCCCCCCCATACACACACACACACACACACACACACACACACACACACACACGTGCGTGCGTGCATGTGGAGAGAGTTTTTTTATGTAGACCAGGGTGGCCTCAAACTCTGCCTCTCCAGTTCTGGAATTTAAGTGTGTGCCTTTAATCCCAGCACTTGGGAGGCAGAGACAGGTGGATTTCTGAGTTCGAGGCCAGCCTGGTCTACAGAGTGAGTTCCAGGACAGCCAGGGCTACACAGAGAAACCCTGTTTTGAAAAACAAACAAACATGTGCAACACCATGCCTAGCCTATTTTGTTTTTTAATAAAGTAAAAACGTCCTTGAATGTTGGGCAGGAAACAACTTGACCATAGACTTAAAGAGAACCAGAACTTCATATTTCAATTTCCTGAAGTCCGGAGATAAATAGAGATGAGAAGCTAAATAAACAGTGAGATACACTGGTATCTCAGTGTTTGAAAGAAAATAGTACATATGCCTCACTGAATTTTTAGGACAAAGGACATCTACCAAGACCCAGCAGGTATAGTGTATACTAAATACTAGATTCCCTGTAAATCTTAGAAAGCAGAGCCAGAGCCTTTAGTAACCTCTGAGTCAGTCACTAGCAAGGGGAATGGCATCCCTAATCAAATACTGCTTCAGATCAGTCACAGCTTACCTCCCCCTCAGTCCTATGCAGACATTGTCGGTGCTTTAGCAAGCTCAGGCTCTGTCATCAAGCAGGAGGAGCAAGAATGGCTGACAAAGAGCTGACTGTGTGCTACATCTCACAGTGATTTCTTTATTAGCTTAAATCCAACTAAGTGAAACAGGGAGGATGGAGGTAACTGTAGTCAGAAATCAGAATTGATACATGGCTGCTGACCTAGATGTTAAACCCATGAGGGAATCTTATGGAAAGCTGTACATTATCAGTTGGAAATCTGGATTAAAGGAACAAATTTCTAGAAATTCACAAACTATCCAAATGATGATAGAAAAAAATTGAACATCTCAACAGACTCATAACAGGTAGATATTGCAAATGTCTATTAACAAGTAGAAATTGCAAATTTCTTATCAAAGAAAATCCAGTACTAGAAGATTTTGGTGGTGAATTGTTTCAAGCATTTGAGTTAGCACTGTTCATCCCAAACTACTACAATGCTGAAGAAGAGTCCCTTCCCAACTCATTTTATGAGGTCACTATGACCCCATTAATGAAAGCCCAGGAAAAACATCGTAAGAAAAGACAATTAGAGACTGGTACCTCCTTAAATATAGATCAGAAATTCTTTTTTTTTTTTAAGATTTTATATATTTTATTTATATGATGAGTACACTGTGGCTGTCTTCAGACATGCCAGAAGAGGGCATCAGATCCCATTGCAGATGGTTGTGAATCACCATGTGGTTGCTGGGAATTGAACTCAGGACCTTAGGAAGAGCAGTCAGTGCTCTTAACCACTGAGCCATCTCTCCAGCCCTAGATCAGAAATTCTTAACAAAATACTAACAAACTTAAAAGAATATCTAAAACAATTTATACTGTGATTTGTTTGTTTGTTTATTTATTTATTTATTTATTTATTTATTTTTCCAGGCAGGGTTTCTCTGTGTAGCCCTGGCTGTCCTGGAACTCGCTCTGTAGACCAGGCTAGCCTCGAACTCAGAAATCCTCCTGCCTCTGCCTCCCAAGTGCTGGGACTAAAGGCGTGCGCCACCACTGCCTGGCTATACTGTGATCTTAAAGTGAAATTTAAACCAAGAATGCAAGAGAACTTCAACACACAAAAGCCAAGTAGTATATTATATAATAGACTGAATATGATAATGTTTTCAACAATGGACGTTGAAGAAATACTTGACAAAGTCAGCTGTCCTTTCTTAGTAAAAGCATGCAGAAAGCTAGGGCTAGAAGGGAACCTCCGTGCTATGACAAGAGCATTTATGACAGACCGACAGGGCATGGTGGTCTGTGCCTGTAACAGCAGCCTGAGCCACATAGCAGGACACTGTCTCAAAGAACCACATAGGGTGATTCTGTGGGGAGGGCGGGGAGGGAAACACAGTTAACTTGGTAACCCGCTGGATGTTTTTTCTCACTGGATCAAGAGAAAGATAAAGGATGTCTTCTAGAAGTAGTCCATATTATGTTGGAAGTTTTAGTCAAAGTAGGCAAGAAAAGGAAATAGAGAACATCTGACTGGGAAGTGGGGAAAGGACTGTATTCATTGAACCCAGAGACTTGTGACTGGTGTAATGATGTACATCTGTAACCCCAGCACTCCAGAGGTGGTGGTATTGGCATTGCTGAGAACAACCCAAAACCCCTACAAACTTTGCAGAGGACAGTATCAAGACACAGTTTTACTTTTGTGATCTTAGCACTCTAGGGACATAGCAAGATCCTGTCAGTCTTCTTTCCTGTACCCAGCTTGTTCTTACACACTTACTTTCAGGTAGAATCTCAGTATATATCCAAGGCTGGCCAGAAACTCAGTTCTCCTACCTGAGCCTTCTGAATGTTAGTGCAGGGGTACACCATCATTCTCACGGATACTTGCTCAAATAAAGACAGCCTGCAGAATGGGAAACGGTGCTTGCAAATCAGGTATTGGACAAGGATCTGGTATCCAGAGTGTATCAAGAAGTACAGTTCAACAACAAATGGCCCAAGTTTTTTAATAGACAAGGAACTTGAGTAGACCCTTTCCAAAGAACCTGCATAGATGGTGTTGTGCATATGAAAAAAAAAGTTAGTAGCAGAACTGTAAGTCTGTAACTAAAGGGAACTAAGTCAAACACATTAGAAGATACCCCACTTCGTCTGTACCAAGGCCATGTAGGATTTTGTTTATCTCAGGGGCAAGAGCTTTGTTCAGCATGTTTCATATCCTAGGATGGATTTCCAGCAATGCCAAAACAAGCAGAAAGTTAGTGGTATCGAGGATGAAGAGAAATTGCAAACCTTGCGCACTGTAGCTGAGTGTAAAATGATGCAACTGCGCAGTCTACAGTTTAGCAGCTTCTGCAAATCTAAACGGAATTACCATGTGGCCAGCAGTTGTGTTCCATGGTGCGTAGTCAAGAGCAGGGCTGGAGATACGGCCCGGTGGCTAAGACTACATACTCGTTTTGTTGTGTTTTAGTTTTTTGGTTTTTGAGACAGGGTTTCTCTTCGTAACTCTGGCTATCCTGAAACTTACACCGTAGACTAGCCTGGTCTTGAACTCAGAGACCCACCTGCCTCTGTCTCCCGAGAGCTGGGACTAAAGATGTGCTCTACCACTGGTCAGTTTATATTTTATTCTTGTATAGGGCATGAATTTGATCCCCAGAACCTACATCAGGCAGTTCACAACTGCCTGTAACTCCAGCCCTAGGATCTCACACCTCTCTGACATCATACATGGGTGTACACATGTACACGTAAATAAATAATAAGAAAACAAGCAGAGACTCGAGATTTGTATACTGTGTCGCAAGAGCTAGAAGGTGAAAAGAATCCAAGTCTCTATCTACAGATAAAAAGATACTTGTTCTGTGTATACATGAGGTCACTCCATTACCCAGGCTGGCCTTGAACTCATTCTGTAAGCCAGGCAGGTTATTGCACAAGCCTTGTGCCAACAGCCCCATTCAAGTATCTGTTGATTTTTACTCTTGTGTGCTTCTTCATACTTGAGTTCCCTACTCAAAAAACAGTCATTCCACCTACCGTTCTAGATCAGTGTGATTGATTAGCCTTCCTCTTCTGCAGAGTGCTAGAGAATGAACATAGGGCCTCACAGATGGTAGGCAAAGGCTCTACCACCTAGCCATGCCTGCCTCTTAGGTGGTTTTGTTTATTCTTAAGACAGTTTCATTATTTAGGCCTAGCTCTGTGTCTAGAGTGCCGATACAAATGTCCTGCTTGGTTGTCTTTGAAATGTCATGCTTTTATTGCCTCTGAGTTCTAAGCATTTTCAAATAATTGTATTGGCTCTATAGATGATTATGGCATTCAACCAGCAGTGTAATGGATAAGTATTTGTTCTAACAACTATTCTTGTTTCATATAGTCTGTAGATACAGTCTACTACTGCCTAGGGTTTAGTCTGATCTAAAGCATGTTGATACTCTTTGATAATTTGATTGTTAGCAGGCTGCATTTTATTTTGAGTAGCGTACTCGGGATTTTCTGCCACAGGGGTAGAGGACAGATAGGTCGCCCGGTTGCATCATTGACTGTACCATAGTGGCCTTATCAGCAGAAGTGAGCATGACCAGGAGCAGTGGCAACTGCTGAGATGATACAGATGAGAGAGTCGAAGAGAACGGCAAGGGGAGGTGCGTCCGATTCATCGTCTTCACTGTTTTCTGTGTTAGGTCTGAATTTGGAACAAAAGGTTTTTTGTGTGTTTGGTTAGCACATGTTGAGTACACAAAATATTTGAATATTTAGAGAATGAAAGAAATTGGACCAGATTGATCACAGAAAGCTTTCAGTACTGTCAGTGCCACGTTAGATAAAATGGTTCTTTCAAATGCCGAAATTCAGCCTGTCTCTCCTTGTCGTTTAGGTGCTGCTGCATCATTTTAAGAGACTGTCAGGGTCACTGTCCTGGTAGCACCAACAGTAAAGGACTTTTGTCTTTTACAGGTTGCTTCATGTGCGAAATGGAAATTGTAAATATCATCTAGGTGAAGAAACATTTAAATTAGCTCAGACGTACATGGATAAGCTGTCTAAACACGGTCAGCAAGCAAATAGAGCGGCTCTCTATGGAGAACTATGTGCGCTCCTGTTTGCAAAAAGCCACTATGATGAGGTAAGTTGGCTTGTTGTTTTGAGACAGGGTCTGTTTGTAGCCCAAGCTGTCCTTAAAAATGTGATATTCCGACATCAGTCTTTAAAAAGTACTGGGATTGCAGGCATGTGCCACACAGTGCGTGGTGAGATAAGCCAGTCGTCTCTTCTATGTCTTCTAAATTGCATTTCATGTATTGGGTGGTCTTCAGGGTTATTTTTCTGTTTAGTTTTTCAAATAAGATTTAGACCAGGCAGCCCAGACCAACCACAGGCTCATGATCCTTCTGTCTCTGTACTCTTGAGTGCTTCAGTCAGGTTAAAGGCCTGTGCCACTATTCCCAGCTTTCACGTATAATGGTCCATGTAATAGATTTTATTGCAAAGTGGAAAAATAATTTTCTAATGAAATATATAAAAACCAAGCAGGAGCATTTGTAAGGTGGACCTTAATTATTGCAAGTAAAATATAGGGCTTTTAAAGTTTTTTGTGCAGGTGTTTGACCAGCTTGCTTTAAGGGAGATCCTGATGAGTCTTCCATCAGTGCATTTGGTATGTCACTCTTGGTTAACTATTTAATCATGAGTTCAAACATAAGTATTTAATTTGCAAAGCACCCTACCACAGAAATGTTTTAAAACTTCATATAGTTAGCATCGTTCTAAAAATGTTTTTGTACTACTTTGAAACAAAATTAGCGGTCTTAGCATTTCTATTACTGTGATAAAATGCCATGACCAAGAAACAACTTGATTTCTTCTTAACATCAGGGTAAGAACTCAAGGCAGAAGCCTGGAGGCAGGAGCTTCTGCAGAGGCTGTGGTGGAGTGCAGCTGGCAGTCTTGTTCACCACGGCTTGCTCAGCCTGCTTTTTTGTTTTTGTTTTGTTTTGTTTTAAAGATTTATTTATTTATTCTATGTATATGACTGTCGCTGTCTTCAGATGCACCAGAAGAGGGCACTAGATCCCATTACAGATGGTTGTGAGCCACCATGTGGTTGTTAGGAATTGAACTCAGAACCTCTGGAAGAGCAGTGCTCTTAACTACTGAGCCAGCTCCCCAGCTCCTCAGCCTGCTTTTTTATAGTGCTCGGGTCCACCAGCCCAGGGATGGTCTCACCCATAATCCATCATCAGTCAAGAAAATGCACTATAGGCTTGCCCACAGGCCAATCAGGTAGGGCATTTTATTAAAGTTTCTTCCTCTCAGTGACTGACCTGTGTCAAGCTGACATAAAAACTAGATGGCACAGTCTCTTAAAATTGTAAACCAGATTTTTGGGATCCAAGTCTGGTGAAGCTCTTATTTTTTTATCAGTTATTTTGAATAGCAGTTCATCTTAAGTGGAACAGAAGAAATGGGGACTTGCATAAATAAGATAACAAGTAATTCTTTTTCTCCATCTTTTGGTCTTCCAAAATTTTTATGAGTGTGTTGTGAAGGGGTGCATATGCATGTGACTGACTGGAGGTTGGAGGTCAGTGTTGAGGTGTTCTTCGGGAGCTTGGGTGGGTTTGTGTTTGCATGTATGTCTGTATGTTGCTATGTGCACGTGAGTACAGAGTTTCCAGAGGAGGCTAAAAGAGTGTTGGACCCCTGTTAAAACAGGCGGTTATGAGCAATTTAATCTGGAGATTGGGAACTGAATTTGGTTCATATGTAAGTGCTCTTAACCAATATGCCATCATGTGTGTGCATGTTTAGTATGCATGAGTGTATATGTATGTTTTGATACGGGTGTGAGAGCACATATGTGCTAATCCATCGTTTAGGCAGGAAATCTCAATCCCTGTTCCATCTTGAGATAGTACCTCTCAGTCAAACCCAGGACTTACCACAATGGGTAGTCTAGTCAGATTGCTGGAACAGAGATCCCCTGTCTCCACCTCCCCAGGCTAGAATTAAGATGTGAGTCCCTCCATGGCGCTCCCCCTACAAGCATTTAAGACAAATTCTCTGGTGCTCTGTGACCAGGCTCAGGTAAGCTACTCTAAAGGTCCACCTGCACTGGGATAACTGCACACCACCTCAATGAACTTTTGGCCTGGGTTTTGGGGATCAGACTCTCAGGTCAACTTGTGCAGTGTGCACTTTGCACTATCTCCCTTGTCTCCCAAATTATTTTGTTTCTTGATATAATAGCAATTATATCACTCTCCAGGATAATTTATTTTGCCTTTATTTTTAACCTGCTGATCACTAGGAAAAGATCATTTTTGTTTATTTTGCCTCATTCCACAGATGCCAGCTCATTGCCTGCCACTTGACCTCTATGCCAGAGGCCAGCTCTGGCATTCTGGTTCTCTCTTAAAAGAGTGTCAGCAGGGGCAGGAATTGGTCTTGTGAGAAATTAGGGTTGCTTTTTAATAATAAAACAGTTACTTGTCTTAAGTCTTACGTTACTTTGCTGCGGTAGCTGGCCTACCTCTCTGAGTTCCTCTGGGTCCAAAAACTGCAGAGTCTTTTGTGTTTAGTGCCTTATCATAAAACATTGGGGGATTAAGTAAAAGGTTAAGTGTTAGGATTTCTTTTTTCCTTGTCCACAACAGGGGAGGAGGTTTGGAGCAATAAACTTTTATTGAACCAAGAGAGTCAATTGCAGAAGGAAAAGCTTTTATGCAAGTAAATATGCATAAACTCACATACATTCATATAGAAATTTATGAACACACACTCACACACCTTCATGCAATCCAGTTGGGTCCAGCTACTTAGTTATCTCATGATTACATACTTAAACACATATCCATACCTACATATGCATATGTGGAGCAAAAACCCAAGGGCCAGTGCAGAAAGAACCCTGGATGAAAAATGAGCTCAAGTCTTTACTGCATAGAGAAAGAAAAGTTTCTACCCTTTTATTGCTAAATGAATTTAACCCAAGTCTGTAAGAAAAAACTTTGTCTTCTTTAGTAAGATTAAGCCTCCCTTACTGTTAAGAAAAGACCTGTTCCATCCGACGGTAAAGAGAAGCCTGAGCCGGGCGGTGGTGGCGCACGTCTTTAATCCCAGCACTTAGGAGGCAGAGGCAGGTGGATTTCTGAGTTCAAGGCCAGCCTGGTCTACAGAGTGAGTTCCAGGACAGCCAGGGCTACACAGAGAAACCCTGTCTCAAAAAACCAAACCAAAAAAAAAAAAAAGAAGAGAGAAGCCTGCCTGCTCTTTGTCCCTCTTTCTCTCTGCATTCTGCATATCACTCCCTTCTTCTGCTCTTGCCCTAATGTCCTCTTTAATTTTTAAGGGAAAGTAAAAGGGGGAAAAATCTATCAGGCTATATGTTCTCTAAATTTCTATGTTGCTTTCTTAATTTCTAAGTTACTCCACTCTGCTGTCCTCCCCTCCTGCTCCTCCCCATACGCCGTGCAATGTAATTCTTCCTCGGTTTTTGTACCCTTTCTGGAATAGATCATATTTAAGTTGACACTGAAGTTTTGTATAGATAAACCCAGTCAGTATTTTATCTTCTGTCCCTGTACACACAATAAATTGTTAGTTCCCTTTTATGATGTTTGGTTGTTTTAAAACCTCTCCTAAGTTGTAAATGCCTGCTTTCTGTCTCAGAAGCAATTAACTCTTGATACTTGAAGATCATTAGAGTTCTAACTGCAGTATTCATATCAGAGAAGGCTCTAATGGTATTCTATTACAAAGGGCTTAATAATTACTAGTATAATTTTAGGAATTCTTATAGGATCATCATTAAGAATTAAGAAATCATCTATTTGTCTATACAGCATCACTACAAGTCATTACACCCTCATTAATCTACAGAAATCTTCCCAGTAGGGTGAGTGAACACCTCGTGATTGTTATATATGCATTTAATAATAACAGGAAGGCATATTAATAGCAGGAATCTTTCCTAAGACATGGCCCCAACCTTGCCTAGAAGACTCTTCCATCCGTTGTAGTTTTACAGTGCACAGTGAAACCGTCTCAGGAAGATAGCCTCTTAGTTTTTAGCTCCTCTAGATGGCTCTGGTTTGTTTTTGGTTTTTTCTCTGTGTAGCCCTGGCTATCCTGAAACGCACTCTGTGGATCAGGCTGGCCTCAAACTCAGAGATTTGCCCACCTCTGCCTACTGTGTGCTGGGATTAAAGGCGTGTGCTACCACTGCCGAGCTATACCTTAGTTGTTTTTTTTTTTTTTTTTTAATACGTGATTATAGTTCATGCCATGATGCCGTGGTATCAGTGAAATGTATTAATGAACATGGATTGCTTATTAGAACCATAGCATAAAGGAGGCACTGCTGAACAGACAGTACAGAAACATCTGGGTATAGTAGCACACACCTTTAATCCTAGCTCCTGGGAGACAGAGGCCAGTTGCTTGGATTTCTCTGAGTTTGAGGCCAGCCAGGGCTACATAGTAAACCCTGTCTCCAATAGAAAGAGAAGGTGGATAGAAGAGTGGGAGATGGGGGTGGGGGAGAGAATGATAAAGTGTTACAGAAGGGAAAGGAAATAGAGGAAACTATCTAGGACCAGTGTCTAAAAGATGAACTTGGTAGACTAAAGGCCCAAAGAAGGGGATGCTTCTAAGGCCATGGGGATTCTGTTATACGAAGGCCTCTGGGGAAATAGGATACGCCTCGTTTTCTGAATGTGTCTGTAATACTATTATTTAGAAAAACTGGTTTTGACGGGGAGTGTTTGATAGGACTCTGAGGCTTACCTCCATTGAACTCAGGAAAATCCTCCTGCCTTGGCCTCCCTGAACCTGGAATTACAGGTGTGCACCACCACACTTGGCTTCAGAAAACTGTGGATGTAAAAATAAAAATAGGGTGATCAGCTCATACTTCCAAAATTTGTCTGAGAATTTCAGTTGTAAATATTTTGTGTGTGTATGTAAGTAGTTGAACTCTTATGGGATAACTTCACAGTTTCATTAAATATTGTCATTTACTGTGTTGCTGTTCTTTCTCTTTTCAATTCTTTCAAAGGCATACAAGTGGTGCGTTGAGGCAATGAAGGAAATTACAGCAGGCTTACCAGTCAAAGTTGTGGTGGATGTTTTAAGACAAGCTTCTAAGGTGAATATGATCTTTATAACACTAAATATATTATAATAACTTAGTTGATCTATTAACTAGATTTGTTTTCTAAGCTTCTCTGCTTAGTTTTAGAAACTTAGTTTCTAATCAAAACTGTCTCATGGCTGGGTAATGACCCATGCCTTTAATCCCAACACTTTGGACACAGAGACAAATGGCTTCTCTGGGGTTAACCTAGTCTACATAGTGAGTTCCAGGACAGCCAAGGCTGCATAGAGAGATCCTATCTCAAAAAACAAACTTACAAACAAAAAGCTAGCTCATCTGTTTAATCTGTTTTTCCTTTATTAAAGAAACCTGTGAAAATACTTGTTTTTCTCACCAAAGTTCACATGACTATAATACTTGGTTTTTGTTTTTCCTAAATCTCTCTCTCTCTTTTTTTTTTTTTTTTGGTTTTTCGAGACAGGGTTTCTCTGTGCAGCCCTGGCTGTCCTGGAACTCAATCTGTAGACCAGGCTGGCCTCGAACTCAGAAATCCGCCTGCCTCTGCCTCCCAAGTGCTGGGATTAAAGGTGTGCGCCACCACCGCCCGGCTGTTTTTCCTAAATCTATGTAGTAACTTCAATTTCTTACTCAGAAATCCTGTGTGACCTGATGACATTTTGTAGGTAGAGGGCCGGCACTTCCTTCTTTCTCCCAGGATTGTTTTATTCAAGATAACTTGTTACATTTGACCTGCTAGACCGTCTTTGGGTTTTTCTCCCCCTCTGGTTTCTTTTTCTATAAATAAGTATATGAACTTTTGGAAGCTGTTTATTATTACCTCGCTTTGAATTTTCACACACACTCTTTGTCCAGAAGTTACTCACACTTGAATATTTCGTTTTGGTTGGTTTTATTTTTTGGATTAGAAGACACCACTGGTTTTGTGAACTACTGACAAGTTGTTTGTGGGTCTGTAACTGTGGCTAGCCCTCAGCTTGCTACACAGTCATGATTGCCCTCAAGGTGTCGTCGTCACTTTCTTAGGCTTCAGGCATGTCCTAGCCATTCACTCTAGAGGAGATTAGCAGCATATGCAGGTAGATAGTGTCTGTATGAGAAAGATGTTAGAATGCTTAATTGAAACATTAAATATGTTTGTATGAAGTAATAACATGCAAATTTTATGTATGCACATGATGTTAAAGAGTTTAGAAACTGGTAATCCACATGGTTCAAAATATTTTTTAAATAATTGAAAACTTGAATTTCCTCTGTATATAAAAATTATCATGTGAGCCTGTGGCCATGATAGCCTTATGTCCCAGATCTTGTTTGGTCTCATAAGTGAGTGGGGGAAAGCCCTGAATAGCACAACCTGTAAACAGCAGGTGGTATTTAACGAAAGGTCCAGTCAGATGGCTCGGTGGGTAAAGATACTTGCCACCAAGCATGGCAACTGAGTTCAACTATAAAAGACTCATGTGGTAGAAGGAAAGAACCAGCTGCTGCAAACTGTCCCCTGACCTTCACAGATTCTGTTCAGTTGTGCTTATGTGCATATGTGCACTGTAAATAGTTAATAAGTAATGTTAAAGTATGGGACCAGAGAGGCAGCTCAGCAGTTAAGCACTGGCTGCTTCTCCAGAGGACCCAGGTCTGATTTTCAGTACCCACATGGCAGCTCACAACACCTGTAACTCCAGGTCCAGGAGCTGTAACATCTAGCATACCATAGCAAAATACCTACACACATAAGAACTACACACACACACACACACACACACACACGCACACAAAGGGAAAAAAGTTTATTAGAACCCATTCCATAAATGGAGTGTGTGTACACTTAAAAATACTATGCTGAGTCCTCCCCACAACATTTTAATATTATAAGAGGGTAACCATGCACTGGCTTGTGGATTACCTTTGTTATAACAGGGTTTTTTTTGTTTGTTTGGTTGGTTGTTTGGTTGGTTGGTTTGGTTTTTGGAGGCAAGGTTTCTTTCTTATCCCCAGCTGACCTGAGCTTGGTCTTTTAGACCACTGTAGGCTGGCCTTGATCTGAGAAATCCGCCAGCCTCTGCCTTCTGAGTGCTGGGACTAAAGGTGTGCACTACCACAGCCCAGCTGTTATAACAGCTTCATAGTGGAAATGTCAGAATTTCCCCAAGTTGTTTACAGATAAATTATTAAAATTATTATAAAATTACTAAATTTGTAAAGAAATTACAAGTTGAAAGAATCATTGAAGTTTTTTTTAATTATTAACTGTTATAATGTGAGCTGTAGCACACTAATGAAGCATTTCAGAGTTGTTTAATAATTTCCCACTTTGTTTTTAGGCTTGTGTAGTCAAACGTGAATTTAAGAAGGCAGAACAGTTAATTAAACATGCAGTGTATTTGGCAAGGTAGGTGATTGTTACTCAAGGTGCTGTTTTAATGTGTTTCTCAGCTTTAGATACTAATACTTCTGTATCTTTTCCTAGAGATCATTTTGGATCCAAACACCCAAAATACTCGGACACGCTGCTAGATTATGGCTTCTACTTACTCAATGTGGATAATATCTGCCAGTCTGTTGCAATTTACCAGGTATGTTAATGTTTATTTCTTTCTCTGCTTTTAATCTAAGTTGACTTGTTTGTCATCTGTAAGACATATATAAAATAACTCTTTAAGGAACTGGAGAGATGGACTTGTTTGTCATCTGTAAACCATATGTAAAGTAACTGTGTGAGGAACTGGAGAGATGTTCTGCAGCTAACTCTGCAATTAACACGGGCTGCCCTTCCAGAGGACCAGGTTTAATTCTCAGCACCCACATGGCACTTCACAACTGTCTGTCACGGCAGTCTGACATGCTCACACAGATATACGTGCAGGCAAAACATCAATGCATATTTTAAAAAAGCAATAGCAGACCAATTTAAAAAACAAAAAACCAAAAAAAACCAAATAACTCTTTGAGCCCTGACTTTCTCCTGTAGGCCTCACCATTACTTTACTAAGCACTCCTCCATAAAAGATGTAAGAGTCAAATGTTTAACAATTGAAGAAAATAGTCCAGGACTAAAGGCATCAGGCTCTAGATCTATGTTCCACAGTTCTTTCTGTCTATGATTTGCCCAGACGATGGCTTAACTTTATGGAGGATTTATCAACTGTCAATCTAGTAATATTTTAGATCTTGCAATTGTTATTTCAGGTTAAAGTCCTCTACCATGACATTAGGTGTCATGTCACTGACTTTACAGTTAATAAAGAAGGGTACAGAAGAAGCTGTTAGGACTGAGGCCGAAACACTGTGGTAGAGTGCTGCCTTACTGCAGAAAATTGACTGATACGGTTTACCAGACAGGTTTCTTTATAGAACCAGGTTTTTCGGGGCAATTTGTAGCTTCTGCTCTTCTGACAGAACTTTCTCATTTGAAATGTAAAGGATTAGGTACATGGAGTGTGTGGATAGTTCATTTATCTTAGGTAGTGTACCATATTATTAAATGTCTTTATGATTCTTTTAGGCAGCCCTCGACATTCGACAGTCAGTGTTTGGTGGGAAAAATATTCATGTAGCGACAGCTCACGAAGACCTGGCTTACTCCTCATACGTTCACCAGTACAGCTCTGGAAAATTTGACAATGCGCTGTAAGTTCCACCTTCTCTGAGAAGGTTAATACTGTTCCCTAGTGTGGTAGTCCTTAAGTATTGTATGGATAAATTTGTCTTCCTGGTGGGATAAAATGTTTTTGAAGTCATTTAAAAACCATCCTGATTTTTTTTCCACCCCGATTTTTAAGACATCCATTTATCCAAGCTTCTCTTGGTTTCATATTAAGATTTATGTATTTCTATATTGGAATGAGCTTTTTTTCAGTATTTCCTGTATTTTTTTGGTTTTGTTTGTTTGTTTTTTGATTAATTCATAGCCTCTGTGTCAATGGTAAATTTAACAACCTACAAACTTATTGCTGAAAAAAACCAAAAAACTGTGTCAGACATGCTCATTTATTCCTCTCTCCTGTGACTGTTTCATGCCATGACAGCAGAGTTAAGTAGTTGTGAGAGAATATTGCCAATGTAAAGTATTTACTGTATAGCCCCTAACAAAGGAAGGCTTCTGAAGCCAATTTAAGCTGGGCGGTGGTGGTGCACAGCTTTAATCCCAGCACTTGGAAGGCAGAGGCAGGCAGATTTCTGAGTTCGATTTCTGAGGCCAGCCTGGTCTACAGAGTGAGTTCCAGGACAGCCAGGGCTACACAGAGAAACCCTGTCTCAAAAAACCAAAAAGAAAGAAAGAAAGAAAGGAAGGAAGGAAGGAAGGAAGGAAGGAAGGAAGGAAGGAAGGAAGGAAGGAAG